TGGCAATTGACCGTTGGCTGTTGGCTGTTGGCTGATTAGTGACAACGGATTCTGTTGGCTATTTTGATTAGCTGACAGTGTTAGCTGTTTATAAAACGGTGTTTGGTTAAACGGCTGTTTATTGTTAAATTACTCTTAAGGACATCAATTAATTTGTTTAACTTTCCTTGAAAGGATTTATTTGTTTATTAACTACTTTTATACGGACCATATTCTTATGTTTTAGTGTTTCACACATTTTGCTAATAATTGTTTTAAAACTACTTGATCCGTTTCAATTTAACAAAAATAAGATTTAGTAACACAAGTTAGAATGATTGGCATGTGCTCTAAATACTCCGGCCATAATGACATCATAGTTTTAAAAGGTTTGTTTTTATTTATTTCAGTATTACGTTTGTCAAGTTGAAATAAACCAATCCAAAACAAAAGATTAAAGTGAAGCTAGGTAGAAAAATACACTTTGGAGAAGCACGATAGTTTGGTCCACACTTTGTTTTTGGATTGACGAGCAGTAGTAGAATAGCAATGCGGGCCGAATAACAATTTCAATAGATATTCAAACGGCGGCTCACCAAAACGCTAAGATTATCAGTCTTTCTAATTTTGGCTGTTTGGGATAAGTGAAAAAGCTACTTATCCAAACATCTCTATTAACTGTTTATCTGGTCAAAAAGTCAAATATTGATCAAATCAGCTAAAAAATGGCTGATAGGCCATTAACCAAACACCCCCATGGCTCAAAATCATTCTTACTTTATTTTTACTTTATCAATTAATATCAACCACACAAATTCATTTTTCTTAAAAATCGTGACACCCTCTTCCGTCCCAATATAAAAGGGACGAAGGTAGTATAATGTAAATAAGTAGTACCTCCTTCCCACTAGGATATCCTGCTTTTCTTTTTTAGCATTCCCAAAACGAAGTTTTCATTTTCATAAATGAAAAGTTATCTTATATCAAAACAGTATCAAATAGTGTAAAATAGTGTCAAACAGTACCAAACAGGGCAAACAACGTCCAAACAGTGTGAAAACAGTAAATTTTAACCCTGGTAAGTTTATTTCCTAAATATGTGTAGGTCAAACAAAGAAGATTTAACGGAACGGAGGTAGTATAAAAAATAAAAAGTACTTCCTCCTATTACAATAGAGGGCCTTATGGGGTTTGGCACATGTTTTAAGAAAAGAATAATAGAGGTAATATAAAGAGTACAGACAAAATAGGAAAAAGAATTAAAATGTAGGAAAAAAGAATGAGAGTATATAGGTGATATGTATCAAATAAAAAGAGCTTTTAATGGGTTATATCAAAAGGGCTTTCAAGTCATTGCAAAATTTGGGTAATTTCTCCCCTTCATCACGTCCCATGTTTTGCTCGTAGATCATGTGGTCTCTCTACCCGATTTCATCTTCTAATTTTGTTATAGCACTAAGTATGAAAATCGCGACTTTTAGAATCAAAATTTATCAAATCGAGGACATTAAAACACTGCTTTCATAACATCAAAGGTTTTTTCGATCTGTAATCTTGTTGTATGAGTGTATCACTATCGAAACAACTTCATGGACTCTGGCCGGTATGAATTTAGTTTTCCACTTTTTCCAATAAATATCTGGTTACATTTCCTACCCCTTCATTTCAATTATTCAACGTAATGGTATTATTTTTGTTCCATGTTTGTTGTTTGCATATGAATTGATATGAACCCTACGTTCGTAATTTTATTCACAATCATTACTATTTGGGTTAATTTGTAAGTTCCATGTTTAACTATTTTTTCTTAATTCCTTCCATTTTTTATCGTATTTAAATATTTTAAGCTTAAATAAATTAATATTTTTCTATTTGATGCTAATCATTTCAACCCTTCTATTGAATTTTAGGTGTAGTTTTTATTATAATCCTGCTAAAGTTTTCCGTGTAGTTAAATGTTGTTTTATGTCTCTCTTATTAATTATATTTTGATGTTTTCTAGTTACCTTTTTCTAAAACTTTGCACACTACCAACCCAAAGTGTACTTCATTCATTCCATATTATTGGTTTCTTTTTGTGCGCGTGGAGAGAGCCTTTACCATAAGGAATCTTAACTCCTTAAGGGGAGTTTCCCTTTATAAAGGGTTCAAATTCCCTTGGGTTTTTCGGTGTGAGAAAAACTGTAACACCCCCATTTTCCCTCCCAAAATAATACTTGAAATCATAGATTTATTGATAATAAACTTGATTGATTCTTTCAAACCTGATAAAAAGTTTTGCAGCGGAAATGACATTAAATGGGAAATGGGTGTTACCGCCACATCCGGTCATCTCTTAACCGAATGCACAGGCTATCCCAAAACAAAATAGAGTAAAACAAGTGTTCAACATAACTAAAGTGTTTGTTCTTGACTAAGTTTGACTAAGTCATCTCTAAACCGCTCTGAAGACCATGCAATCATCAGTCCACATAAGCATCATTACCTGCACAAATAAAGTGCAGAAAACAAAACAAAGAAAAGGAAACAAAAATTAGCTTTAGAGCTAAGTAAGTACTATCCAACACCGTAAAATAATCAGGTTTGTCAAAATAGTTTTTCATACATAACTATAACTTTGAAAACCCATTTTCTTCCCACAAAACTACTTTCATGTTTAAAATAATATTTATAAACTCTAAATAATTTACACCTTTAATAAAAGTATCTCTTTTCAAAAATAACTTTATAGCTAATCACTCTTTCTGAATATACTCTCTTTCTCTTTGAAAATAATCTCCATAGTCATTCTCTTTCCAAAACTTCTCTCTCCTACTTTCTTTTAAGATGGGCGGTACTTTCGGATACTTATGCCCGAAGCCCAATGAGTCGTTATTTACGAACTCATCTCGGAATCCGGTTCCCACCACTATCTCTTGAATCGAAACGACTACTAAACTTGTTCTCTTCAAGTAGTAGTAGCCCTAACAATCCTCCACATTTATCCGGATGTGAAAAAACCGACACCACGAATTTCTCCTGGGGTGTTCACCTCTTATGAAAATGTTAATTTTCATCTTGAATCAAGATATACTTCAAAATTTTTTCAAAACTCTCTAAATAGTCAAAAAGGCATTTAAAAATATTTAATACCCCAAAAGTACATAATTTGTATTCCTCAAATACTATAGATTTAATATCTCTTTAAATAGCACATATACATAATTTAAGAACTCAAAACATAATCACATAGCACATAATAATCACATAACACAGAATATTTCTCAAGTCTTCTAATATTCTCAATGGTGTTTCAAAATATTTAATATCCCATATCTCAACTTTCTCAAATACTATAAATTTAATGTCACTTCAAATAATACATATTCAAAATACACACTTTAATCACATATTAGCATATAATACGAGGAAACCATTTTGGATCGGCAAAGAAACTTACCTCAATCCGATGCTCCTAATTCTCCTTCTCTATTCTGGTCTTTAAGTAATCACCTTTTTAATTGAGACAATATAATTAGTCACTTATTCTATTCTTAATTATTTATATTGTTATTGTTCGTAGCATTTCTTTCCAGCCCAGAATTGTTATTATGGAGTTACTAAAACAACTCAGTTTAAATTTCTATCAACCAGTCCAGCCCATTAGTAGTTCATTAAGACAACAAAATAACAGAAGAGTACCGATCATGCTCTCTTCTTCCTCACGCGGTCGGCACGGGTGCGACGCAGGCAGCTCTCTGGCTTCCGTTCCACTGCTGGGGCGGCGAGTCAGATGTCCAACTGAGAACCCCGGCGTCAAAGAGTGGTCAGTCGTCAGTCCGGTCTCCAGTAGTCTTGCTTCGTCTGGAATGGACAACCAGTCCGGCGAGTTCGATCACCCTTTCTACTCGGCGGCGAGGTTATGTGTAACACCGGACCTGAATTCTTTCTGTGAGATTTTTTTTTTTCATCAAGTACTGGGTTAAAGAAGGTAAATCAAGACTAAGAGTAGTCTTGATAAATGACAAAGTAAAAAAAGTTGTCTTAAATTAATAAAGGGTTATTAATTTAGACGTGGGGACAACTCATGATATTTCGAGTTTGTAAAATATTAATGTTTATCAAAATGATACTATTATAATAGTAGGGATGGGTCATGGACCCCAGTGATATAAAGAACAACAACTAGACGGCCAAGCGGGCCGGGGTCTCGATCCGATAATTGTGAATCATTAATCATCGGACTGATAATAATTCAGAAGGCTACTAATTAATAAAAGATGAAATATAAATGTTTTAAGAACCTAAAATAATGGGATGATAATGTATGATTAAATTGACATATTAGAGGTGGGTACTTTTGGAGGACCCTACCTCGAAGATATTTTCGTATAAGAATAAACAGATAAGATTTTATCTACTTATACAGTTGGGACCACTTAAAAACAAGTGTAACATTTTATTAAAGTGTCACAAAATATGAAAACACATATTTAATCATTAGGAATGATGAATGAATTTTTTAAAACAACGTGCTCTCATTTTTACTGTTACTTGAACAGTAAAATGCATGTCGGGTCCACGCATGGGCGGCGACCATCCGATATTTACGGACCACATATTATATTCATCTTGGTTTAGATAATATTTATATGAGGGTGTAAATAAATGTTGAGCCATAAAGTTGGCCTTTCGATCAAACGAGGTCCCATTACCGGCATAGGTAATTAAACATATAACAGCCCGAAATTTATTTCAGTGACCACGAAATTAAAGTGGGATAATATATATTCACTCTAGAGGCCAATATTAATTGGAAGAATGATATATATTTTATTTGACCCGATAAAATAAAATTTACTTAAAACAGTCCCGAAAATACAACTTTCGGAGTCGAATGTGCATTCGGGGACATAAAGGGATGACCTCCCACATGAGTGGGGGCCATCCCACGTTTTTGTGCATCCAAATGAGCCGTAGAATCTGCATAGCATGGAAGAGAGGGATGCATTTGGTCTCAAATTGATAGGTTGGGTGAGAGAGTGACATTTGGTGGACCTCCCCTCACATTGATTGGCAAAGGAGACAAAGGAAGTCTCCTCACTCCTCTCTACCCCATTATTTCGACCACCATATTCAAGGAAGAGAGGAAACCCTCTTCAAATCATCATCCTCCATTGTTGAAGCAAGCTCAAACCAAGGAAGCTCCAAATAAGAAGAAAGAGTGGGAAAAGAAGAGAATAACCTTGATATATTAAGGTAATGATCTCATTAATATTTTTCATCCTTCATTTAATCTCATATGATTTTATAAATCATATGATAGACTCTAAATCTTATTCTACACTTTTAGAGGTGTAGAATGAGGGTTTGGAAGGTTAAGTTTAACCATAAACGGAGTTATGACCGGAGTAAGACCGGTTCACCGGAAAACACCTTCTTGGAAGGTTTTGATGTTTATACCACTTTTGGTCGTGAAACCTTGTTAGGAATTTTACCAAGGTATTCTAAACTTCTCAAGGAACCTAGGAGTGGCCGGAAAGTCGCCGGAGCCGCCGGAGTTTTCGCCGGAAAATTCAAAGGTCGCCGGAGTTCAAACAAAGGGGATAAAAACTCGCTAGCGTCATTTCAAGGTGAGTGGACGACTACGTGTCTTGTAACTCTTGGTTCAAACGTGGGATTACCTAAATAAAATCATAACCATGATTTGAGAAATGATGAAATGGATTAAAATGCATGATTAGTCATGGTGTATATGACTAATGAAAAAAATAGATTAATTTATTAATTAATCATTAGTACGTAGTATATATTTCTTAATGCATAAGAGGATATACTTGAACCATGTATGAGATAAGCTCGAATAATCTAGTAAGTGAATATAAAAGGGTTGTAAAGTTGTGATTATCCATATTAAATATGGATTATGGAAGTATTATATGATTAATAAAAAAATAGATCAATTTATTAATTAATCATGAGTATATTTTTCTTAAATGAATAAGAAGGTATACTTGAACCGTGTATGTCATTAACTAGAGTTATCTAGTAAAGAAATATAAAAAAGATATGTGATATGTGATTAGTCATATTAATTATGGATTATGGAAATATGGCATAATTAATGATTAATCAATTAATGGTATGAATAAAAGGTTGTAAGAAAGGATCATGAGCCATGATTTGGGCTTGGGCATGAGATTACTCAAATAAAACAGAATGATATTCCATGAAATGTTAAATACATCTAAGAATGTATTAAGGAAAGATTTACTTATTAATAGTATTAATAAGTGTATTTAATATGCTTTAATTTGGACAGAAAATGATTATAAATTATGTGTGATGATTTGGACGTCCAAAATAATATTTTTGGACTAAGAATGACTTGTTGCATAAGCGTATAAAATTTCGTGGAAATCGGACCCCGTTTGGATGGTCAAACGGGCGTTGACCAAAATGTTGACCGGTTGCCCAGGGGGTAACCGGCGCCGGTTATAGGCAAAACCGGCGCCGGTTATGGTTCGGTTTACTCAAGAAAATCAGTAAACCGGCGCCGGTTATGGGTAAAACCGGCGCCGGTTATGTCTCGGCTTTCAGGACTGATTTTTGCTAAAAACCCAAATCGGACCCGGTTTGACGTGGGATAAATTCTAGCCATCCTATATATGAATATTTTGCATGGAATTGCATGAAATATGATGTTTAAAATGATAAGCTTTGGAATACGGTTTAAACGCTAAGACTTGGACTAGTCGTTAGTAAAGAAATTATAGACCACGACTGGGCGAGGTACGTGGTAGATTATACATGGCGGGTGAATACCCGGGACCAAGTAAGGTTAAGTAATACTCTGTAGGACCAGGAGGAGTCCTCTACACTCAAACGTTAACAAGGGCCCGTGTAGTCCTTGAGGTGTGTTAACCTCCAGTAAATTACACATAGGTAACAAGGGCAAGTGCAGTCCTTGAGGTGAGTTAACCTCCATCAAAGTGCATATAGGTAACAAGGGCAAATGCAGTCCTTGAGGTGTGTTTAACCTCCATCAAATTGCATATAGGTAACAAGGGCAAATGCAGTCCTTGAGGTGTGTTTAACCTCCATCAAATTGCATATAGGTAACAAGGGCAAATGCAGTCCTTGAGGTGTGTTAACCTCCATCAAAGTGCATATAGGTAACAAGGGAAAGTGTAGTCCTTGAGGTGTGTTTAACCTCCATCAAATTACACATAGGTAACAAGGGCCCGTGTAGTCCTTGAGGTGTGTTAACCTCCAGTAAATTACACATAGGATGAGGGTGTATGCGTACTCCTCAAGGCGGGGTTATCCCAGAAATGAAAACTATGATAGCAAGGACGGATAGTCCTCGCGGTAGGTGAACATCAAGGTAATGATGTTAAATGATTAAACGTGCTTGATCGGGAACGAGTTTCCGATATGATATTTTCCTTGGTCTAAGAATTGATTTAAACCACGTCCGTGATATGGGAGTCTGAATGGCCCCACAGTAATTATATCTTGATATCGGGTGAGTTAGCCTGCGGGTGACTCCACTCGAGGGTGAGATACGGGAAGGGTGAATTTAATGAGGCTGTCACGCCTAAATGATTTGAAGGACAAATGGGCCCACGGGCCAGATATTTTACTCATATGTATATATGTATACATTTTGTTTTGAAAAGGGGTAGCTGAGTTATGCCCATAATTATACTATCACCCTATTTTGAGGGTCTCACGTGAGAAACGTTAGTTACATTACATACAGTTTGCCCTCACCAGTACTTTTCTGTAGTACTGATCCCTCGGGGGAACCACCCTTTCAGGTTGAAGCTAGAGCTTACTTCCTGCACCCGTTGCTCGGGAGATCGATGGAGAGAAGACGTGGTTCGTGCTTCCTCTGGTTCTATTTCTAAATAATTAAATAATGCTCATGGAACTATTTTGACTTATAAATTAATGGAGCCTGCGAGCTCTTGTTTTACCCTTGTGTGGGTTCTTATTAAACACTTATATTCCGCTATGTGTTTGATTGTATGTTGATGTTGTTATGTATGTTTACTAATCGGTTTTGGCATATGTATCTATCGGATGTCTTGTGCAATTCGGTAAGGATGAGCTGCGGTTATTCTTATTGGGTTGTACGACGGTTGTCCACGTGGCACAGACGCGGTCTGGGGCGTGACAATTAAGTGGTATCAGAGCCATACGATTTCTAAACTATATAGTCAACCTCTCAACAGAGTTTCTATCAAAACAATTTTTCAATGAAAACCATGAGCATAAGTTTGTACTTTAAGAGCATTTGGTCATCGAGTTGCAAAGTCTCTGGTTGTTAAGACGGGCCCCTTAACAATTGGTATGGCAGTGACTTGAGCCAAGTGGTGTCTTGAGTACGTTTCTGTCAATTGACATTCAAACGAGTCCAAAGACTCATTCCAACATATTCTTTCAGGAATGGGTGGTAGTGATAGGGCGGTTCGAGGAAATCCGAGAGGGCGCGCACCGGGGATAGCCGGGCAAGCCAATCGGGGAATATCAAGGTCGCGTAAAAGGCGAGGTATGGGCAACCAAGGCCCACGAACACGAGCCACGATGGCTGATCACAATGTGACTGAATTCGAGTCGTGGAACTCGGAGGATGACTCAACTTATCACCCTGAAAGCGAGTCAGATGAAACTTCTTTTCAGGAAAACAGTGGAGAGGATATACAAAGTATTCCTCCTGACCATGTTAGTGAGATGTACCGATGGTACCAACGTGAAAGGGGAAGACAACGACAGGGATCTCAGGAGGGACATGTCAAAGGCGAGACCTCTCTCAGGAGGGGTCGGGGTGCTCATAGAGCACAAGTTAGGACAGTCAGAGATTCTGATGACGAAGGACCATTCATTAAGATCTCAAAGTACCTCAAAGAGGCTAGAGCCTTGGGGTGCAAACCATTTGATGGGACGGGGGACATATCAGAAGCAGCCGAGTGGATAAAAAGGTTAAATGATGCAGCTGAGGACATGCAGGTGGTCCCTGAAAGAAAGTTAAGGGTAGCCACTAGATTATTGGAGGGTTTAGCTTCTACTTGGTGGGAAGGCACCAAGGGTAAGTTTGACGGGGTTGTCACGTGGGACAACTTCGAGCAAGCATTCTATGAGCAGTTTTACACCTCTTTCGAAGTAAATCGAAAGAGGAGGGAATATATCGATCTCAAACAGGGAAATGAGTTTACGGTGAAGCAACTGGAACAAAGATTCCGACATCTGGCAAGGTTCTTGCCTGAGTATGCCGCAAATGAGAACCGAATGGCAAACCATTTTTGGAATGCACTCAATTTGGAAATACGCGAAAGAGCGACCTACCAATTCAACATGACTTTTAGTCAAGTAGTAGCACAAGGTCTCCAGGGGGAGGAGCTTTGGAAGGAAAGGCAAGCAAGGGATGCAAAGGAAGCACAAGAAAGAGATCAGGTGATCATTCACCCTCCACGACGAGAGGGGAAGTATGAACTTCAGAGCAAGGGGAACTCTAACAAGTTAGTTCCGTTTTTCAGTGAGAGCCAGGACTTGGTAAGTCAAAGCTCAAGCACTCGAGGCACGGGGGCACCCAAATGTGAGAATTGTAGGCGAAGGCACTACGGGAGATGTCGAGAGCCATCTAGGTGTTACTTTTGTGGAGAAACAGGCCACATCAAGGTCCTTTGTCCTCAACGTACGCGTGAAGGAACATCAGGAGCTAGAGGAGGGGTCACGGGGGTTGAAAACCCAACTAGGGTTGCCTCAAACATGGTACCTTCTACAAGTCAATGGCGAACTCGCTCGTGAAGGCCGGAAATGGCGGGAGCCATTTGTTGGGCCTGACTATGGCATAAGGTATTATTAAATTAAACCTAAATTTCCATAAATATTTTTATTTTCAAAATTGTTAGCTTCAGATAATGAAGGGAGAAATGCTTCTCAAGGTTCAAACGTTAATTTCGGGGACGAAATTCCTGTAAGGTGGGGTGAACTTGTAACACCGGACCTGAATTCTTTCTGTGAGATTTTTTTTTTTCATCAAGTACTGGGTTAAAGAAGGTAAATCAAGACTAAGAGTAGTCTTGATAAATGACAAAGTAAAAAAAGTTGTCTTAAATTAATAAAGGGTTATTAATTTAGACGTGGGGACAACTCATGATATTTCGAGTTTGTAAAATATTAATGTTTATCAAAATGATACTATTATAATAGTAGGGATGGGTCATGGACCCCAGTGATATAAAGAACAACAACTAGACGGCCAAGCGGGCCGGGGTCTCGATCCGATAATTGTGAATCATTAATCATCGGACTGATAATAATTCAGAAGGCTACTAATTAATAAAAGATGAAATATAAATGTTTTAAGAACCTAAAATAATGGGATGATAATGTATGATTAAATTGACATATTAGAGGTGGGTACTTTTGGAGGACCCTACCTCGAAGATATTTTCGTATAAGAATAAACAGATAAGATTTTATCTACTTATACAGTTGGGACCACTTAAAAACAAGTGTAACATTTTATTAAAGTGTCACAAAATATGAAAACACATATTTAATCATTAGGAATGATGAATGAATTTTTTAAAACAACGTGCTCTCATTTTTACTGTTACTTGAACAGTAAAATGCATGTCGGGTCCACGCATGGGCGGCGACCATCCGATATTTACGGACCACATATTATATTCATCTTGGTTTAGATAATATTTATATGAGGGTGTAAATAAATGTTGAGCCATAAAGTTGGCCTTTCGATCAAACGAGGTCCCATTACCGGCATAGGTAATTAAACATATAACAGCCCGAAATTTATTTCAGTGACCACGAAATTAAAGTGGGATAATATATATTCACTCTAGAGGCCAATATTAATTGGAAGAATGATATACAACTTTCGGAGTCGAATGTGCATTCGGGGACATAAAGGGATGACCTCCCACATGAGTGGGGGCCATCCCACGTTTTTGTGCATCCAAATGAGCCGTAGAATCTGCATAGCATGGAAGAGAGGGATGCATTTGGTCTCAAATTGATAGGTTGGGTGAGAGAGTGACATTTGGTGGACCTCCCCTCACATTGATTGGCAAAGGAGACAAAGGAAGTCTCCTCACTCCTCTCTACCCCATTATTTCGACCACCATATTCAAGGAAGAGAGGAAACCCTCTTCAAATCATCATCCTCCATTGTTGAAGCAAGCTCAAACCAAGGAAGCTCCAAATAAGAAGAAAGAGTGGGAAAAGAAGAGAATAACCTTGATATATTAAAGTAATGATCTCATTAATATTTTTCATCCTTCATTTAATCTCATATGATTTTATAAATCATATGATAGACTCTTAATCTTATTCTACACTTTTAGAGGTGTAGAATGAGGGTTTGGAAGGTTAAGTTTAACCATAAACGGAGTTATGACCGGAGTAAGACCGGTTCACCGGAAAACACCTTCTCGGAAGCTTTTGATGTTTATACCACTTTTGGTCGTGAAACCTTGTTAGGAATTTTACCAAGGTATTCTAAACTTCTCAAGGAACCTAGGAGTGGCCGGAAAGTCGCCGGAGCCGCCGGAGTTTTCGCCGGAAAATTCAAAGGTCGCCGGAGTTCAAACAAAGGGGATAAAAACTCGCTAGCGTCATTTCAAGGTGAGTGGACGACTACGTGTCTTGTAACTCTTGGTTCAAACGTGGGATTACCTAAATAAAATCATAACCATGATTTGAGAAATGATGAAATGGATTAAAATGCATGATTAGTCATGGTGTATATGACTAATGAAAAAAATAGATTAATTTATTAATTAATCATTAGTACGTAGTATATATTTCTTAATGCATAAGAGGATATACTTGAACCATGTATGAGATAAGCTCGAATAATCTAGTAAGTGAATATAAAAGGGTTGTAAAGTTGTGATTATCCATATTAAATATGGATTATGGAAGTATTATATGATTAATAAAAAAATAGATCAATTTATTAATTAATCATGAGTATATTTTTCTTAAATGAATAAGAAGGTATACTTGAACCGTGTATGTCATTAACTAGAGTTATCTAGTAAAGAAATATAAAAAAGATATGTGATATGTGATTAGTCATATTAATTATGGATTATGGAAATATGGCATAATTAATGATTAATCAATTAATGGTATGAATAAAAGGTTGTAAGAAAGGATCATGAGCCATGATTTGGGCTTGGGCATGAGATTACTCAAATAAAACAGAATGATATTCCATGAAATGTTAAATACATCTAAGAATGTATTAAGGAAAGATTTACTTATTAATAGTATTAATAAGTGTATTTAATATGCTTTAATTTGGACAGAAAATGATTATAAATTATGTGTGATGATTTGGACGTCCAAAATAATATTTTTGGACTAAGAATGACTTGTTGCATAAGCGTATAAAATTTCGTGGAAATCGGACCCCGTTTGGATGGTCAAACGGGCGTTGACCAAAATGTTGACCGGTTGCCCAGGGGGTAACCGGCGCCGGTTATAGGCAAAACCGGCGCCGGTTATGGTTCGGTTTACTCAAGAAAATCAGTAAACCGGCGCCGGTTATGGGTAAAACCGGCGCCGGTTATGTCTCGGCTTTCAGGACTGATTTTTGCTAAAAACCCAAATCGGACCCGGTTTGACGTGGGATAAATTCTAGCCATCCTATATATGAATATTTTGCATGGAATTGCATGAAATATGATGTTTAAAATGATAAGCTTTGGAATACGGTTTAAACGCTAAGACTTGGACTAGTCGTTAGTAAAGAAATTATAGACCACGACTGGGCGAGGTACGTGGTAGATTATACATGGCGGGTGAATACCCGGGACCAAGTAAGGTTAAGTAATACTCTGTAGGACCAGGAGGAGTCCTCTACACTCAAACGTTAACAAGGGCCCGTGTAGTCCTTGAGGTGTGTTAACCTCCAGTAAATTACACATAGGTAACAAGGGCAAGTGCAGTCCTTGAGGTGAGTTAACCTCCATCAAAGTGCATATAGGTAACAAGGGCAAATGCAGTCCTTGAGGTGTGTTTAACCTCCATCAAATTGCATATAGGTAACAAGGGCAAATGCAGTCCTTGAGGTGTGTTTAACCTCCATCAAATTGCATATAGGTAACAAGGGCAAATGCAGTCCTTGAGGTGTGTTAACCTCCATCAAAGTGCATATAGGTAACAAGGGAAAGTGTAGTCCTTGAGGTGTGTTTAACCTCCATCAAATTACACATAGGTAACAAGGGCCCGTGTAGTCCTTGAGGTGTGTTAACCTCCAGTAAATTACACATAGGATGAGGGTGTATGCGTACTCCTCAAGGCGGGGTTATCCCAGAAATGAAAACTATGATAGCAAGGACGGATAGTCCTCGCGGTAGGTGAACATCAAGGTAATGATGTTAAATGATTAAACGTGCTTGATCGGGAACGAGTTTCCGATATGATATTTTCCTTGGTCTAAGAATTGATTTAAACCACGTCCGTGATATGGGAGTCTGAATGGCCCCACAGTAATTATATCTTGATATCGGGTGAGTTAGCCTGCGGGTGACTCCACTCGAGGGTGAGATACGGGAAGGGTGAATTTAATGAGGCTGTCACGCCTAAATGATTTGAAGGACAAATGGGCCCACGGGCCAGATATTTTACTCATATGTATATATGTATACATTTTGTTTTGAAAAGGGGTAGCTGAGTTATGCCCATAATTATACTATCACCCTATTTTGAGGGTCTCACGTGAGAAACGTTAGTTACATTACATACAGTTTGCCCTCACCAGTACTTTTCTGTAGTACTGATCCCTCGGGGGAACCACCCTTTCAGGTTGAAGCTAGAGCTTACTTCCTGCACCCGTTGCTCGGGAGATCGATGGAGAGAAGACGTGGTTCGTGCTTCCTCTGGTTCTATTTCTAAATAATTAAATAATGCTCACGGAACTATTTTGACTTATAAATTAATGGAGCCTGCGAGCTCTTGTTTTACCCTTGTGTGGGTTCTTATTAAACACTTATATTCCGCTATGTGTTTGATTGTATGTTGATGTTGTTATGTATGTTTACTAATCGGTTTTGGCATATGTATCTATCGGATGTCTTGTGCAATTCGGTAAGGATGAGCTGCGGTTATTCTTATTGGGTTGTACGACGGTTGTCCACGTGGCACAGACGCGGTCTGGGGCGTGACATTATGACTTTCCGGCGATTATGGAATTTCCTCCGGTGGTCTCCCCTCCTTGGAAGATGACAAAAATAGCTCTGGTCTGAGGGAGTGGTATTGGTCTGGCATTTAGTTCGCTGGTTGTGGTTTTCGTAGGTGTAGTACGTATATTATATTATATGTTTATATTATGAACATATTGTGTGTGTGTGTGTGTGTGTGTGTGTGTGTATATATATATATATATATATATATATATATATATATATATATATATATATATGCTCAAGAGGTTAAACGGGCAAAAAGATGCTGATCAGAATTACTTGTCGCATGTTAATGATCTTTCTTTTTTATTTGCACATGGATTAATACTGATGTTTTTTGTGTAGTAGGAGCCTGAGCAAGAACTCATAGATGATATTTGAAGGCTATAGTGATTTCTGTTGGTGAAAATGGTAAAATCCTTTTACACCATTACATGTCATCTAACTCTCATTCACTGGATGGTCATTACATTGACATGCCAAGAGTTATAGGTTGGTATCTACGGAAGACATACTGTAAGGCTCAATGGGAAGATGTAAGGCTCAATGGGAAGATGATCTCTCATTTACTTTATCCATTTGGATTGGGCGTTCTCCTATGTCAAAGTCAGGTTAACTTTGCCACCGTTGCATACAGTCGATTTTCTATCGCTACTTGAATTCCAAATTTGCCAATCATTTGTACTGTTTCCCTTATTCAAATTAAACTCCTAGAATGTTGTTTGAACAGGTGAAGATTGCTTTTGTCCCTATGAAGATGACAATGATGACATTCATAATGATGAGAAGAGAAATTGGGTGGAGTTGAACTTGTAAGAAATCAACTGGATGACAACATGATATCTATTAGCCTTTTAATTTAGAGCAATATCACGATCTCCAAGTTCGAGAATATTCCTAGCCTTTTAAGATATGCAAACAATATCAAACAATGCCCTGTGATATGCAAAACCATTTATCAGAAATCATAAACCATTTAGATGTTTTGGCATATATACCATTGAGCATGATGTGGTATTGCTTGCATATCTTATTTCATTACACTTTCAGAAACAAATTGGAAGAAGTTACATCTCCGGATGCAGCTAGGAATATTCTCAATTTAGAGGTTGTGGTATTGTTCTATCTCCAGATGCAGCTAGGAACAAATGATGTGTTCATTACACTCAAGCTCAAACTCACTTTAGCCTTTTACTCAGACAAAGACTAATCACATGATAATTGTTGAACTTTAGATATTTCAATGTATAACATGCCGTACAAAATTCTGTGTTTTCCTTAAAAAAAAAATAAACCAAAACCAAGTTTCATTTGAATGTATAAAGCCGGTTTTGCTAGGATTTAATGTTCTCTTATTAATTGTCTGATTCCCATCTTTAATGTAACCGTAATTATTGAACAACTATTTTCATGCTTTTGTTTATGTTTCGGATGTTGAATGGTGCTAAACAAGTACAATGATGTAACTACAATACTCTTTTCTGTTTTGATTTTCATTTTTTTTTGGCTGCTTAGCATTGTGATGTATTCGCAAATTTTTTTATTTATGAAATACAATTTTCTCATTTAATCATCATTGGGCACGAACCACCGCGCAAGCGCGGGCCAATGCTAGTATATATATATACGCGGTTCTGCATAGCTAGCTCGTTCATTTTGTCATGGGGTATCTTTTTCATTCAATGCTATCACCATCTTGAGCGGCTATGAATAGTTAGGTATATGTAACTTGTGCTTTTCATTGCAAGATATGTATACTCCATATTTGATATGTACCACTATCACCCAATACGCCAAAACATACCCATATGCCGAGTTTTTTACCAAACGGGGTATGTACAAACTTATTTCCCAAATAGGGTACTTTTAAAGTTATTTCCCAAATGAAGGTACTTTTTGCCATGTCATCACTCCAGCATTTCCACATCATCCCAGCTATTCCATGTCATCACAAGTATCACACGTCATACAATTACAGTGTTTAAGGATATTTTTTAAAAAAAAATTTGGGAACTTCAAATGGGATTGAACCCCCGACCAATGGCTAAGCATGCTTTTGATGGAATTTATTTTCTTTTTAACATATTTGAATACCGCTTTTAAAGTTCAAGTTTGACCATCATCCAAAAAAAGTTCAGGATTGAGCTAAGCTGGGCACCAATTTTTTTTTTTCTTATTTTATTTATTAACAAAAAAAATTCTTTAAAAAAATTCTTTAAAAAAATTCTCAATTGTAACACTTATGAGCAGGGAAGGATCCAGGATTTCGAGTCAAGGGGAGCGAATTTTTTTTCATTTGTGTAGGGAGTGAAAAAAATCGTCGGTAGGCGGGACGGAAAAAAATTCACTAGTGTAGTGGGCGAAATTGTTTCGATAATGTAGGGCTCTGTGGTTAATTTGTATTCAAAAAGTTCTATTAGTACATACTACATACACGATGACATTTATATCTACTATATATTCTAATTCTAATTTTAGACAATGAAAAGATAACTTTGATTTAATAACCGTAAGTGCTCTAGATTTTTTTTTGATACATTAAAGTTTAAGAAATGACAAATCAAAGGAAAATTATTTGAAAATAAGAAAGGATATATAACACTTTCTGATATTATTTGAAGATAAAGAGGTTAAAGTTAAAGGTACACATCGATCAACCAATGCTTTTTGAATAACTTATGTCTTGTTTAACAACATGAATCTTAACAGAATAAAAAATTGGTTTTTGAATTGAAATTTTTGTCTACCAAGGAAGGTATTTGTGGGTCACGATGAGTTTTCTTAATATTACAATAGTATGTATGAGATTATTATACTTAGAATAATATGATACGTAGTAATGTCAATTCATATATATGGTACATATTATATTTGTAGTAATGTTAAAATAAGTTAAATTATTATTTATTCAACAAATTGTTTTTAGAAAGTAAGAGGTAAACGAAGTGTGTAATTTAATGTCAACAAAAATTTATACTATTTAACTATTGTATCTGATAAAGATAACTAAACATTACAAAACTAATAATTTTTAGGTATCCTAAGTCTTAAACAATGAGTTATATTGTTTATTTGTTTAAGTTATGTAAATTATTTGAGATTCTACTTCTTTTAAATCTCCAATTAAGTACAGAGTATTACATTATGTGAGCCTACATATTAATTTTGAAACCTAAAAAGAAAGATTGTATCTCGTTGATTGGGTCTGGGCGCAAATAATGATCCTGATTTGAGCAGAGATTTTTTTGTCCAAAAATAACTTGAGTTGCAGATAGAAAGAACTCAAAGAAGCATAAGGCTGGCGCAAAATATAGACCAAAAAGTCATGGCGTCCTGAACCATGGCGAATCAGGATCTTGTAGTCATGTCTCTGTTCGGGGGTCATCTGTACCACCGGCTGTACGGTGAGCACCGTACAGCCGGGTATTTTTGAAATTAAATTCAATCTCAAGCCTGATAGATCCTTCGGCAACCACCACTGTCCAGTTCAGTCCCCTGCTTAATTCGCTGCCTTCTCCGGTTCTCCTTGGCCTTGGATCCAGCGTTTCCACATACGAATGGCGGTAGCCAAAAGTCCAGAACGACGGTAGGGTAGTCGCAAAGCTGCTGCAGTTGTGGGAGAGGTCTTCGCCAGGCGCTTCATCAAAGTAGAGGGAATCGATCAAGGTAGAGGGGAAGTGGAATCCAAGAAGAGCTTCAAGGACCGCACACCTTTGACCTTCAGACTATTTACCTTCTCATATCGCACATGTTGTAAAGACTGCAGTGCCTAATGTTTATGTCGGCTACTTTTATATTAAAAATTGTACTTTAGCATCGTCTTCACAAAATGCATAAGAAAATTTTAATACTATAGTATTGATTGAATTAGAATTGAAATTATGAGCATAGTAGACATTTCAAATGAATTTTTTAATGCTCATTTCGTAATTATGTATACTCGTTTGATATTAATGCAGTACTCATTTTAAAATGTCATATTCATGCACACTTCAAAATGAGTTTTATGTTAAACTCAAATGAGTATAACGCCCAAAATGAATAAGCACAGACAAATGAGTTTTTAAATCTTTTGATACTCATTTTGTAAGTTATGTATGCTCATTTGATACTGTTTTATGCTCATTTAAAAATGTTTCACATTTCAAACGCATCATACTATATTGGATTCAGATACTGAAATAATAAACGAAAAAATAATAAAAAGAAATTGAATTTGAAGATATGAAGCACAAATCACTGGTGCTCATTGTTAGACCCCTAATACCCAAAAGAACAGACTTGATACTCATCACAATCACATAATGAAAATCACTGGTGCTTATAATTTCAAGTAATTTCAAGTTAATGCTCAATGAAAACGTCTTGATGTTCAATTAAAGTACTTAAGATTTTCATATCAATTCTCATTTTATAAGTTATTAAGATCAGCGGGTATTCATGTTATGCTCATTTGTAAAATGGCATAACAATGCATATTTCAAAAGTATCATATTGCATTAAATTCGCATACTGAAGTTCATAAGAGTTGATTATAGATATACTTAATCAGTTTTTATAAAGAAAAAAATAAGGAAAAGAAAGTAAATTTGAAAAGATGGAGCAGAGATCACGATGCTCATTGTTATGCTTTTAATGCTCAACAAAATATGTCTCATGCTCATTAGATGTGCTTTAATGCTCATTTAATGCAAGATGCGAATTTCATATAAATTACAAAAATGCCACCGGCTGTACGATGCTCACCGTACAGCCGGTTGTACGATATAGGCTTCCTCTCTCAGGGGTTTATGCTGAAGAGAAATCTTCCTTCGATGATCTAAAACCCAATCTGAGACAACCGCCGCCGAGCCAATCTGTGGCGGGTGTTCTGCAACCTTCATCACCTGAAGAGTCCATGGTTGCTCATCTTCTCGCTAGATCCAACTTGCTGATTAGACATAGAATGGGCGAATCTTGTTCTTGGCTTTGAGCAAGAAAACAGATATGCTATTGTAGATGTGTGCTACCCAGAATCGCCTGCAGGTTTTATCCGCGAAAAAAGTAGTGTCATTGCAAGACAGTTGCTTCGCCTCAGACGCCCTTTTGTGGCTAATATAACTGATGGTCTGGGTAATGAGCTTTTTAGGGTACGAAGACCTTTTTGGTGGATCACTAGCTCTATTTATGCTGAGATCAATGGAAAAGAAATAGGTGTAGTCCACAGAAGATGGCATCTCTGGAAGAGAATATATGACCTGTATTTGGGGAATGATCAGTTTGCCGTGGTTGAGAATCCTGGCTTTTGGAACTGGACTTTTACATTAAAGGACATTGATGGGAATGTGCTGGCTCAGATAGATCGTGACTGGAGAGGATTTGGTTTTGAGATTTTCACAGATGCTGGCCAGTATGTGATCCAATTCGGCAAAACTGATTCCAGTAATGCTTCAGTTGGAGGGATTCAAGAGTTAGACGTTGTTCGTCCACTAACCCTCTCAGAGCGAGCAGTAGCTGTTGCGCTTGCTGTATCACTAGATAATGATTACTTCTCAAGACATGGAGGCTGGGGGATTCCGTTTGTCGAAGTGGGCGAATAACCTGTCTATGTTCTGACTTTGCTTGCAACCCATCTCCTGAAGGAAAACATTGCAGTGGGAAAAAACATAGGTGTGTGTCCGAGATACTTTTTGTACAGGGATAGAAGCAAATGATAAATTCTTCTTGGTTGGCAACTTTATTAACTCCTGCAAATGAGAAATTCTTCTGATTGATTGCATTGATTATTGACTAGTATTACACCAGAAGTCATCATTGATCTAAATGTCAAACCTCTATGATGTTGTCCACATGAGGTGCAAATTTGTGAATTTATGATTGTTACCAGTATCATTAACTGGGGCAAATTTCACTTTTAAAAAAAAAAAAAACCTAAAAGTTAAGGGGGGCGAAAACACACACACCCACGCCCCCCTTAGATCCGTCGGATGGTGTGAATTTCCTATTATGTATGTTTGTATTTTTAACTAGTTTTATTAGTTCTAGTTGTGGAAATTACAAACTTTTGGTGTAATACTTTTTTTTCATTAATTATTTGTAATTTATTTAGATTAGGATTATTATGAGCTTAGGACAGGTCAAAATCATCCCAAGAATCAAATGATGGATCTTAAAGACAAAAGAATGTGCAAAAAGGAGAAGATCAAATGAAGATTTTGAAATTTGTTCAATACGCGGTCGAGTATTGCCAATACTCGGTCGAGTATTGGCCGGATACGCTGGTCAAAGTCAAATATGAGAGCAAAGGAACGTGGCTGAATATTTGATGAAAATCTTGTCTCATACTCAGTCGAGTATTGGCAATACTCGGTCGAGTATGCCTACATTTTGCAATTTCCTGGAAATTACCTCTTGTACTCGGTCGAGTATCTCCAATACTTGATCGAGTACAGAACCCTGCCACCTCCATTTTGCTATAAATACACCTCTTTCATTCACATTAAAATCACCAATTCTCAGATACTTCTAAGCT